ATATCAGTAACCTTGGACAACACAGTCATGCGACGTATCAAGCGGAGTCTCAAGATAACATTTGGCTACCCAGCAGCCACCATTGTCACCGCCACAAAATATTCCCGTCGCCATCCGTTAAAACTTTATAGTAATTATTGTTTGCCATGCCATAGCGCCTCAGCCCCCTCTTTGCAGAGTTTACTTTGTTTTTAGGTCAAAATATTCACCCTACGCTGGCTACGGAAGCCTTGACCAGGCCTGTTGAGGGGATAGTACACCCTCACGTTAGCCCTACCTAATGCTTCTTCACGACATGGCTTCTCTTTGCAAAACATACAGGTACCTGGTCTCTGATAGCAGTGATAGCTGGAGTTTTCTTCCATCGGGGTGCTGATAGGCAGCCTCATTCGTCATGCCGCAGAGGCTGCGTAGAAGGCTGTTATGTTATAACAACCTTCTACGCAACCTCTTTGCAATACGCCATTTCCCACTTACCTCGAGCACCCTGTAAAAAGGCGCATTGTCTGTAGGGATGGCCCTAGTAAAATGATAAATACAACAAAAATAGAACAACTCTATTTGTGCTGGCCCTGACGAATAGCGGAAGCACATGAGAAACTGGTTGCCTGGAGCAATGACGGAAGAAACGCTGATGTGATCTCACTCGGGTGAGGGATGAGGTAAAACCGCGAAGCAGTCAGGGTCTTGCTTCTCAGCCTATGCCATATGCTGCTGCCAATCTGCTGTTGGGTATGGCGCTCTATTGCTATTACATCTGTTAGAAGCACCTTCTCTGTGATGTGGGATAGGGAAGGCGGGATGTCCCAGTACAAAGGCAAATCAATGTTGCCAGTGTCAGTATGCCCAGGTGGTTGATAAGGGTTTTCATAACTACGTTCCTTGGCCCTTGGGCCCCATTGCTGTTGTTGCTAGGTTGCATATGCCAGGTATTGACCTTTCATCTCACAATAGTTGATGGTCAGCAGCAATGCAACAATGTGGTGGAAGGAGCATGCAATGCTGCAGTGCAAGTGCAATATGCAGACATCACTTCGAGTACATGCTTTTCTTTTAGCACTGTAGCACACACTTAGCTCTCCTTCTTCTTTTGAGATGCCCAACACTTAGCCTTGACAAAGTATCTCTGTGGTCCAGAATTCTTTGGCTCTGGGAAGCAACACTCAACACTGTAAACGAATGGCGAGAAGAAGGACTCATCCCCGAATGGTTTCTGTGTCCGGCGTTAGGTACCTTTCTCGATTCCCGGTATCTCTCCCTCGCGTACATGTACGTCTTCAGCTGAGCAAAAGTCCATCTAGCAATCGTTTCGCCGACAGGTGGGTTCGCAAAACGAGAAGCTATGGCTGGTGTACTATTTCTTGCTGCCATATCCGGGTATCAAAATGAAAAATTGAAAGCAAACTATGCACAAAGGTGTCAGAGTTCCTTTTCTTCATCCGAAAATTTTCTCCGACGGAATGCTAAAATGCAATAACAGTGGAACTGCATGCATTCCATTCATGCACGTGCAGCACCTGATCGCGTAAGCACGCAACAAGCCTAAAATCCGTGTACTTTGCACATCCCGTGCACTTGACAAGCTAAGCCTGGGCGCATCAATCGCATGCCCTCTCAACTTTTCGAGCGCTTATTTGGCATATCATCTATTCACAACTTCGCTTATGCTGAACATGATAAACAGGACTATGATAGGGGGACAAATAGCACTCTACACAGACAAATTGCCTGCCACTCTTCTAATGTTGCCCACACGCAATGTCTGTACCTTCAGCCTAGGCCGCAAATAGCGACCTCGCTTATTACAAGAAACCCCAAACCACGACATGTTCTTAAGACCTAGTGACTGACCACTTGACTGCATACACGTTCAACCTCCCGAACAACGACGCTTCGATCTCTTGCACCACCGAGGGTCGTTATCGGCATGGCTGTGTGTACTCATTACAGGGGCGTCGGACACGGTACGGTCACTACGGTATTGACCGTACCACTTTTTGCCCCCAGTCACCCCGTGAATCTATAATACACTGATCTGGGCTCTAAATTTCCGAAAAATATTCGGCTCGGCAACCCCTTCCCAGGAGTAAATTGTACTTCAGATGGCTGATCGTACCACACTAAAATACCTTCCGACGCTGCTGTATCATCTTCCCGTTATGACCATGGGCTCACAAAATTTGTTTCTTTGTTTTCATTTCCTTGTCGATCCTGAGCAGGTTGCAGACATACGGGCGCCTGGAGAGATCACGGACCATTCTGAGGGCACCGGAGATGGAGACACTGCTCGGAGGCAAGATCAAGACGAAGCTAAACACCATAACTGCCGCCCGGTGAAGTCCGCGGTTGTGTGCTTTCATGTGCGTGTGTGTGTGTGTGTGTGTGTGTGTGTGTGTGTGTGTGTGTGCGTGTGTGCGTGTGTGGGTGTGTGTGTGTGTGTGTGTGTGTGTGTGTGTGTGTGTGTGTGTGTGTGTGTGTGTGTGTGTGTGCGCGTGTGTGTGTGCGTGTGTTCGAACAACTGCAGCGCTCAGCGCATATCTAGCTATAGTTTGTTGTAAGTGGTTTAGTGTATGTGATTGTCACACGATGTGTTGTCCCTGCTGGACAATGCGTACAAATTGTTAGTTCATTGTCCCTACCGGACCATGCGTACACATTGTTGGTTCATTGTCTCTGCTGGACAATGCGTACACATTGTTAGCTTACTATCCCCACTGGACGATGCCTGTACAAAGTCTTCTTGCCAGACTAATTTGCAACTTTCCGTATTCATGCATGACGTGTGTGTGTTTGTCCCCCATGCATTGTATATACTTCTTGCAAACTATGATTTTCTTCTGCTCGGAGAGTTTATCATGCATTTTTTTTAAATCTCGCCACGCTGAGTGGTACGTGCTAGATCGAGTCGCCCGATTCCTTTTGAAATTTCCTGGTTCCCCAGCGATGCTGGCTTGGAGACTTGTAATGTAGGCTTGTAATGCACTCGTGCGAATCCCTCGCCTCCCCCAGACCAATTTCTATGTCGTGCACGCGACACCATTGTCTTGACTTTGTGATGATGAAACGAGTATCAAGATAGAGCAAGACGGCGTAGTGTGTAAAATGGTATTTTTAATAAAATGTCAATATTGTTCTGTGCCCAGTGTGTGTGTGTGCGCACGTGTGTATGTGCGTGTGTGTGTGTGTGTGTGTGTGTGCGCGCGCGTGCGTGTGTGCTGAGAAACCCCAAAATGCGAAAAAAGCTGAAAAAACCCAAAATGCGAAAAAAAAAATGAAAACCCCAAAATGCGAAAAATATGCAAAACATAATCTGGACAGGCCTACCCAGAATGCAGGATGTTGCACCCTAATTTCAATTTTTCCGGCGCGGGGGGACCCCCACCCCCATCCACCCTTGTGCGGTCGCCTTAGACAGGTTTCACTGTGCTTTCTCGCCTTGCATGGCGGAAGCACGGGCGTCAGAGGGCGGGTGGGGAGTGGTACGACGGGGGGTCAGGGGGTGCCAAGGAGAAAAAAATTCGGACTTTTCGCCCAACAGGGCATGTTTTAGCACTGTACAGGCAGTACAGTACAGGCGTAAAGCCGCAAAGCCGCAAAGGAGGGTTGCCATGGTTACCGAAGGAAGTAATAATTATTAGCAATGCCAACAGTTCGATGTAAACGGTAGGTCTACTAGTGAATCAGCGCACGAACTACAGAAACCATAGTTTCGACTACAACTATTGTAGGCTTTTCGTACCATTACATGTACTTTTCATGTCCAATACTATGATATCCATAAACCGGCACTTTGTTTGGCGGTCGGAGCCGCTGATTGACAAAATGACACTTAAAAGATGGCGCTAGTGGCGCCAACTACATATTTGGCGGTCAGAGCATTGACCAAGATAGCACTGCTTTAAAAGATAGCGCTAGTGGCGCCACAACCACATAGTGAAACAATGATTATCCCATGGTACGGTACTATAGGCCTGTTTCAGCCAATCAGGAGCCTTGCTGACCGGGAAATAATAGCCAATACAATCCCGCGCGGGATGATATTCATTATTAACTGGGTTCACTTTTACCGTACCTACTACGGTGCACCCTGCATTGGCATGCCCCCACCCCCTCTCGATTCGATGCAATGCATCTTGCCACTGGAGTCCTTTGGATCAGAACCCAGCAACAAAATGCACTACACAGAACCGTGAAAGGGTGAGAGCATGCCAATGCAGAGTGCACCGTCGGTACAGTAAAAGTGAACGGAGAGAACTTACCTCCGCGACTACGTCCAAAACCAGATTCCACACAAACAAACAACGAACTCCAATCACCATTCAACTCAACACTACGACACAAAGGAGACTTCGAAGTGCATCAGTTCTCATTCACTCTTTGTAAACTCGAAAACTACACAAAGTATCACCATCCGAGTGAAAATTACTACATGTAATTGCAAGGAGAGATACCGCAACAACTCGAAAAGTACAAGACGTGAAAGTGAGAGGAAAAATCTTGCACAGAATATTCAACAGTGTGAAAGAAGAAGAGCTCAGCAATCCATGTGTGATGTAGATAAGATATGGATGCAAGATGCGACCCGCAGTGATTATCATGACGTATCCAGCACCAGTAACCACAAGAACAATCTAAAACGTAGATGCTGCTACAAATCCAGTATGCCTATAATACGGTATAAAAAAGATCAACGTTCTTCTGATTGCATAGTGGCCGATAGTGATACAACCAAGAGTCTTGATACAACGAAATGCACTTTACTCACTGGTGCCTATGTCCGACGATATGTAGTACAATGTGGTTACTGCCTGCATGGACCTTGTGGACAGTGTTCAGCAAGGATCCCAAACCGTTGAAAGTAAGTTCCACGCCGATCCAATGACAAGGAAGTCAGCACCAGCATCCACAATGACGTTGTATCTCACCGTGACTTGAAGTATGGCCCTTACTTTGGACCAAATGACTATGTATCATAACAGTGCAATCTTCGTCAATACACTTGTCCAACTACAAAAATGCAACTTGTCTCCCGAGCTCCAACGCTCTCAAACCTTGACTGGATTGAAAAGAAAGGCAGCATCTTGTTTTTGGTATAGCTGTACCTTGGTAATTGTATTCAGAACGCAGTTGCGTCGATCCCCAAAATGCGTAGATGTACCTGGGATAAGTAGGATATTGACCCGCGTACTCGGGTGTTACCGTACCCTCATATCATCCCTCCTGCTACGCAGTCGGGATGATATTCGGGAGGTAACACCCTCGTACTTGGGTAATATCCTATACATATTACCAAGACTGGCAAGAGTGCATAAACATGGACTCTTGGTATTACGTACTACGGTACTAGTGTCGAACAACAGTGGGGACCACGGTACTACAAAACAGTGACAACTAACGTTACTTTCGCACATACCGTACTTCTCAGATGCACACACAGTTCAGGCGCTTCGGCTTGGTAATGTACGCTGCCTCCAGCACAAGGTGAGATTTGTTGCGCGCACGCGCTTGAATGGTGAAGTGAGATGATCAATGCTGGTGCGAACAGCAGCAAGCAAGTACACACTATGTCACTATATTGTTGGTTTGACACTGGCATGTAACAAGGTGGAGGACACCATGTCCGGAAACAGTTTTAAAACCTTTCTACAACCATCCACGGTTGGCTAAACCCGGTTCTGACCCTCGTTTAAGACCCATACGGTTCAGACGGACCGGGGCTCTACCAACCGTGGATGGCTGTAGAATGGTCACTGTTTCCGGACACGCGGTGTCCTCCACCTTGTTTATAATAAATAATACATGCTGTCAAGCCAATAATAATTATGTGTGTGAACTAGAACCAGGTTTATCTATGCTTGTAATATGTGGCTTTTACAAGTCAGGCGGTCAGAGCAGTTACAAAAATAGCACCTAGGGTTTATAATTATATAGGGCCAGGCAAGCAGGCGCGAGTAGATCTATCTTAGTATCTATACCACTGGCAGCCTAGGCTACAGTAGGTGCCAACACCATGAACACACACACCACCACGGCGACGACCGTTTGAAGAGTACGATACTACTGTAGCGGACATGGAAATCCAGTCGATTGACCGGGGCCGGCGCCCTCAGCGCGTACAGAACGCTGCGTGCATGCAGGGCACATGTTGATCCGATGCGACTAGCGTGCTGCAGCGCATAAAAATAATACGGAGGATTAGCAAGACGAAATTCGCGTTCGCACTCCAAGGAAAGTCGAACTCCGTGGCGTGGGAATTCGCGTTATCATGGTTATGAGAAGGATTAGCAAACAGAATTCGCACATGCATGACGTTGACACGACGTACATTGACATTGTGTACAGACAGTACAGCGTGGTAAATTTATGACTGCCCTGACACGAATCCGCGATTCGTGTTCCGACTACTTTTCCGAACGAAAAATGCGAAAGTTCGCAATCCAGTTCGTGAACTGAATGTTTGCGAACGCGAACGCGAATTTCGTCTTGCTAATCCTCCGTAATAATTCAAGTGTGTACCGCTTACCCACGGCCGGCTGCATGCCAGTGCATGGCCAGCCGACCCTGGGGCCGCTAGACGTGCGACCGGATTTCCATGTTCACAACAGTACTAAGTCTTACAAGTAGGTCAGGAAAGCCTTTGTAGCTCTCTACGTAGATGATCTACGCGTAGATCTACTCGTCGACATTTCCAGTGCGCATGCGGTGGAACTCTGTAGACTGTACTTGCTTCGTGAAACTAGTGCGTTCCCCGCGGACTGTGCGGCTAAGCAGGCGCGAGTGTAGGGACTACTACATGTGTAGTACTACTAGTACTGTAGTGGGTGCCAATACACCACTATTACATTTTTGAAGAGTAGATCTACGAGAAAGCCAAATTTTAAGTTACAAAAAGCCTCTCTCTACTTACTCGTCGACATTTCCAGTGCGGAACTCTGTACTTGCTTCGTGAAACTAGTGCGTTACCCGCGGACTGTGCGGAGGGTGATCATGTGATGTGTAAACGGCTCCGTAGCTACACACACTGCCACACCAGTGTTCCGTAGACCAGGCTGAGCTAACTACCGTATCCACTATACTGTCTATAGCTGTATTAGAATGTCTTGTAGTCGAGTTTACCGCGGTGCAGGCGAGCACAGCACTGTCGTCTTTGTTGTGCCGCTGAACGAACATCGAACAGTCATCTTTCCAAGATTCCTTTTGAGTCTCTCAGGCTCTCTCTCTCTCTCTCTCTCTCTCTCTCTCTCTCTCTCTCTCTCTCTCTCTCTCTCTCTCTCTCTCTCTCTCTCTCTCTCTCCGAGCTCCCCTCTCCTGGGGAGAGCAACCCGCGTGACCAGTTTTGGCAGAGAGCAAGTGCAAGTACAAGTGTTTGTATGTGTGTGTGTGCGTGCGTGCGCGTGCGTGTGTGTGTGTGTGTACGCGTGCATGTGTGTGTGTGTGTGTGGGGGGGGTGTTTGTGTGCATGTGCGTACGCCTGTGTGTGATCCCCTACTACCAACATTGTATGTCACCATGTGCGGCTTACGCAGATCTAGTACTAGATGTACATGTAGGTCAAGGAGCACATTCGCTTGTTTGCACAACATCACAATGTCAAACAGGACTGCATTGAATAGGTCCCAATGGAAACATTGAGCTGCTGAAAAGAAATGCAGTGCTCTTCAGGCTCGTAGCACTGCGCATGCTGCCATTGGAGGTGGTCCGGGTGGATGGGGGTGCCCCCCCCCCCCTGCGCCGGAAAAATTGAAATTAGGGTGCAACATCCTGCATTCTGGGTAGGCCTGTCCGGATTATGTTTTGCATGTTTTTCGCATTTTGGGGTTTTCAGCTTTTTTTTCGCATTTTGGGGTTTTTCAGCATTTTTCAACATTTTGAGCATATTTTGCAACAAAATGATCGATTGTTGTTGTTGTTGTTGTTGTTGTTGTTGTTGTATTCTTTTATTTCAATTCGCTCAGGGCACAGGCAATACTGCCTTCTCACCGAAGAAAGGATTCTCCGATTCCCGATTCCTACCAAAAACGAGAAATCTGCGATATGAATATGTATGAGAAAGATATGAGAAAAATGAATAATGATGATGTCGGATTACGATAGTTTAGTTGTTATGCGAGATTTCCCTGACGATTACAGATAAAGCGGAGGCAAATATCCAGAAAGGATGCGAGAACAAAAATACAGCGTTCCGGAAGGTAATGGTGCACATACATAGAGCATAAGGCAATGGTGCAGAGAAGAGGTGAGAACTTACAAACCAGGCAATCGTGCAGAAAAAGAGGGAACTGAAGAACTAGCGGTTCTAGAGGCTAAGACACAAAGAGGAAGGGTCAGCGACTCAGATGGTGCTCTTGAATTCATCCTTTTGTGATACACATCTAACTTCAGCCGGCAGCTTATTCCAGAGAATGGCACCTTGGAAACGGATGGAGGACCGTCCAGCAGGACCCGGAAGAAAGGGGACACGTAAGAGCCATGTCACCTGTCCGCGAGTGGCCCTTCGGTCATGATCTTCTTGAGAAGGTGCGGTTGGGGTGAAGAAAGACGAGAACCAGTGACCTGACAGAGAGTGCAGGCAACGGAATACAAACATGAGGAGCTTTCGCTGAAACAATCTCTCAATGGTGGACAATGAGAGTCTCTCTCGTAGCGGCTGAGTCGCGATCGGGTTCCGCAGTCGTAGGATTGCTCGAACCCCGGACTTCGCCAATCTTTCGAGCCGGGTGAGGACAGCGGCAGACAGCGAGGGGAAGAAGGCGTTTGCGGCGTAGCACAGCTTGGCTTGTATCATGGCAACATACCATATCCGGTGGGCCGTGATGCTAAGTGCATCCCCATGTCGCCATAGACGACTTACGGCCTTCCCTGTCTAGCTAGCAAGGTGTTGGATGTGGGACCGCCAGCTCAGGTCGTCGTCGAAAATGACACTAAGGTATTTTGCGGATGACACTGTGGCAAGCTCATCTCCATTGCAGCAGACGCGATCGACTGGATCTTGTTGCCCTCGAGGCTTCAAGAACATTACTTGGGTCTTCTTCTTGTTCAGAAGAAGACAAATGTCTCCAAGTCATTCCGCTAGCGCGGTTACTGCGTTCGAGAGGAAATACACAACAAGTGCTACATTTGCGTGTGAAAATTCTATTACGATGTCGTCAGCAAACTCCTGATGGGCGATAGCGGCTGGTAGAATGTCGCTAGTGGCTCTAGTATATAATACAAATAGGAGGGGGCCAAGGACACTCCCTTGCGGCACGCCTCGGCTGCAAGCTGTTTGGGGCGATAACTCGGCTCCGACCTTTATCCGCTGATGTCGACCGGACAGGTAGCTCACGAGCCACTCCAGAACCTTGCCGTGAAAACCCAGTGAGTGTAGGTGTATGACGAGACGTTCATGTTGGACTCGGTCGAATGCTTTAGACATGTCGACCATAACAACACTGACCGTTTTTCGCAGGGACTGTGCGTCTTTCCATCTGTCCACCGCTAAAACCAGCGCATCCTCGGTAAAGTGGGCTCGGCGGTAAGCAAACTGCGTGCTGGGGAATAGACCCTGCGATTCCTTTCGACTATCGAAAACAACCACATCCTATGCACGCGCTTCCTCCACGTGCACATGGAACAAGGGATTCAAGTTTTACGCCATTTTGGTTGCCATGGTAACAGCAGCATAATTTTCGCATTTTTGGTGAAATTTTGAATTTTTAAAATATTTGTAGAAGAGAAAAGGACATATCGATACGAGTTAAGAGTAACTCTCCATCACTGTAACATGATACTATATACAGTCAGAAAGTGCAATAACTAGGCACAAAACTGACAGAGTACTGAAACATTCGACGTCCTGACACCTAGCTTCAACACATCTCCGTAGCGCTAACCGACAGCCTTCCAACTTGGAAGGTTCAAGGTTATGGAAAGACCAAAGAGGGGAAGGCAAGCGCAACGAAAACGAGCAAAAGCTACAGTCCCAACGGAACAAAGAATGTCGATTGTTACTGGACGATGACGAGACCAGTACGATATTTGACAAAGCGGTCTAACTACAATTCGAAGCAGCAAAGCAGCACACCACCCAACTTGGGTGGGTCATAAATATCAAAGATAAATAAAGAAAGGGAAGCTTTGCGAAAACGAATTGTACAAGCCGAAAGCCAAACTCCTACAGTACTCCTCATGCATGACATTGTGATGGACTAGTTGACTACAAAACAAGCTGTTTCACACGTGTCAGGACGTCGAATGTTTCAGTACTCTGTCAGTTTTGTGCCTAGTTATTGCACTTTCTGACTGTATATAGTATCATGTTACAGTGATGGAGAGTTACTCTTAACTCGTATCGATATGTCCTTTTCTCTTCTACATTTATTTATGGCTCAACATCCGAGTTTTAAAATATTTTTTAGCATTTTGGGTAAATTTCCAAAAAATAAACATTTCCATTTTGACTAGGGCTCAAACGGTCACGGTTTACCCCTAACGGTTAACTGCTAAGCTAACGGTCGGTTTAACGGTTAAAACCTATACGCCACGGCAATCATGCGGACTCCTTTTTAACCGTATATTTGACTATACTCATTCAAAAAATGTACCCTATTCAGTACAACGCACACATGTACATTCTCTTGCATGCTCATTCATACAATACTCTCACACCAAGAGACCAGATATGACCGAGTTGACAGCCCAGAAATAGAGAGGTTCCGCATAACGTAATTACGTTAGTAAAAAACGTAGTCGATCTACGGAAAGTCTTACGTAAACTGCATGCGGATCTGGGTTCCGCCATACGGAGTTTTCAAATCACGTAGCTGCCCTTGGCAACTCCGAACGCGGCAGTGTACGACCAGATCGACCTGGGGAGAGAGTCACAAATTTGTACCCCAATCCACTTACGGACCAGCTACGTTATCAGAGTCCTATCTACGTACTCTCCGTAGACAACTTTCCGTAAGTGGAGTGCAAACTCGCGAATTCACGGGTTTTTCCCGCCCACTAACGTAAAGTTGCTCAACTTTACGTAGTGCGGAACCTCTCTATTAATTGCGTACGCGTGCGACAGCCTGCGAAAGTGCATACTTTGCAACGACCTGATACTTGAAAAATTGACTGAAAAGTTACTGCGTAACCGTTATCTTTATCGGTTAACCGTTAATTCTTCGTAACCGGTCTGCAACCGGTTAATCGGACTAACCGTTTGAGCCCTAATTTTGACCCTTCAAAAACGCATAATCCGGACAGGGTTAATTCTGGGCACTTATGGCATTGTATCACTACATATGTGTTTCCAAAACACTTGAAGTGATCAGCCGGACCTGCTGCTACACACCTACTTTTGTTCAGCAGCTTTCCCATGATCCCACCGCTTGAAGAAAACAACATTTCCGAGTATCTTTTCTTGGGTTTTGTTCTGTGCGTTCATTTCAGGTGCGGTCATTTTCGCTTCCTTCATTCGCCTCCTGCCGATCAGTTTGTGGTGAACCTCTGCCTCTGGGACTTGATCGGCAGCTGGCTTTAAAAGAGTTTGTGCCTAACCAAAACGTACGTACGTACGCCCGCACGCAAACACATGAAATACACACCCACAGGCACCCCCTAAACCTGCCCAGAAGCGATGATAGCGAACAGCTATGTTTAATATAGACATAGCAACTTGTGCTGGGATTACCCCATTCAACAGCTTGCAAGGCTGATTTTAGCCTGGTCTACACCACACGGCTAATAGAAGAGGCTTTTTCTGGCCAGCGAATCTCTATTTTTCCCACACCCACACACACATGTGCCACCTGCCAACCCAGCCAGCAATGGGTCGCCTTATGTCAGCCGATGTTGGTTGAACTAAGTTACTTGGTTCACCTAATGTGCAGCCATACATATTGGTCGCACGGTCCGCATACCATGTACACCTTGTACACCTTGTACACACACACACACACACACACACACACACACACACACACACACACACACACACACACACACACACACACACACACCATTGGACCATTGGACGCCCATCGCCGAAGGCGATGATAGCGATGCTACAGCAGAAGCCATAGCAGCTTGTGCTGGGATTGCACCATTCAACAACTTGCAAGTCTGAAGAATTGACCGCCACTATTCAGCCTGGTCTATACCACACAGCTATGAAGTGGCTTTTTCTGGCTTTTTTCACACACACACACACACCGACCCACACACACACAGTCACACACACAGACCCACAAACACACACACAGTCACACACACTGACACACACACACACACACACACACAGTCACAGACACACACACACAGACACACACACACACATGAAGTCACACATAGTCATACCATGTACCATGTATACGCCCGTCGCAAGAGAAGCAAGCAAATCTGCAAATGCACAGGAAGTGAACCCACAGCCCGGATTTTCTCTTTATAGCAACGGTAGCGGATCTGACTCTGATTGAAGCAGACAAGCGCCAGATAACTGTCCAATGCACACAACTGGCGAAGCCATGTGAATCGACCACCAATGCACACCAATGCACACCTGGTCTACACCACACGGAGTACATCAGAATAACGTTAGGACGGCCAAGACAGTTATCTATGCACACCCTACACTTGCTGGGGTAACCAGTATAGACAGCACGCTGCTTTGGCAGAAGCAGACACTAGATGCACTGTCACACACACGCACACAGACACACGCACGCACACACGCACACACACACACGCACACACACACACGCACGCACAGTCGCACACACACACACACACACACACACACACACACACACACACACACGCACAGGCATACACAGTCTCAATACAAGACGAAGAAGAAACCCGTGGCCGCTGGATTGCGAAATAAATACTCTATAAAAATATATAACAACGAAATACAAAATACATGCTTGTGCATGTCATCCAGTGTTCCAACACAGAACATACAATAACATAAACCGCATGTACATGTCATCCAGGGTTCCAACACAGAAAATAGAATAACAAACTGTTGCGCGGGAAGAAAACAAAGAGGGAAGAGACTATTCTCGCTAAACTAGAGCATGATGCATGTAATCACTATATTGTGAGTACACCGAAGAGCTAGCTACAATGGCAGTCGCACACAACAAGGGGTATAGTCAAGATTGTAACAAGTGTAGAGCGGAACCAAAGCGCAAGTCAAAGACCCGTCTAAGGAATGTCTGCGTTGCAAATATATACGTAAACAAAGTATCTACTCTAAGGACGGCAGGTGGTTATGAAATTGGCAGCACTCTCTGAAGAGCAGAGTGGCGTGAAGAAGGTATTCGGCGGTTATAGAAAAACACACATTGCGTTGAACTCATGAAAAAAGAACTAAATTAATACTCTAGGGTTAATATAGGTTGTAGGTTGCTGAACACGCTGCATGGCACGATCAGCTATTAGAGGATGCCAGGCAGATGGCAAGTACTTGTCATACTGGCAAGAGCGGGGCGCGCAGGGCAGCAAAGTATTCTGCAGCTCCTCCAGCCATGCACAAATGCCTGTGTGCATGCACGCTCAGGCATACACCCAAGCCTACACACAGACACACATGCAAACGCACACAGACACTGACACATACACACACACACAAGCACACGTACACACACACATACACATGACCAAACAGACGCACAAACTCGCGATACTCGCGCTCGAACGCCCACATCCACCTATACACACAGAGCGTGCAGACACCAACGCATACGCATGCTAATAAAAACGGAAAAGAAGAAAAGATTTCTGAAAACTCCAGACAAACACTTGGCATGTGAACGGTGCCGCCAACTTTGGCTACACATATGAGCAGAAATGAAGTGGAACTAACAGACGGACATAAGTCTACATTCGGATAACCTTGCACCAGTCCCAAATCGGGTGGGGTGACTTCGCTGCAATCACTCCAGGACCGTGCCCGGGGTGGGGGGACTTCTCTGCAATCCCTCAAGGACTGTGCCCGGGGTGGGGTGACTTCACTGCAATCACTCCAGCACCGTGCCCGGGGTGACTTCGCTGCAGTCACTCTAGGACTGTGCCCGGGGTAGGGCGACTTCGCTGCAATCACTCCAGGACCGTGCCCGGGGTGGGGTGACTTCTCTGCAATCACTCAAGGACTGTGCCCGGGGTAGGGCGACTTCGCTGCAATCACTCCAGGACCGTGCCCGGGGTGGGGTGACTTCTCTGCAATCACTCAAGGACTGTGCCCGGGGTAGGGTGACTTCGCTGCAATCACTCTAGGACTGTGCCAGAGGTGACTCACCTACGCCAGCTGACTCGCCACGACGAAACGAAAGTGGTGTCTTGAAGGAGTCCTGTGGCGCTACTGGTGCGTGACCTGAGCTATCTTGCGGCATCTCCTTCAATGGTAGATCGGTATCCTCCGTCACGGCATCCTCAAACTTCTGCCGCAACTGAATCCGGTGGCGAAATATATAGTAGAAGCGAGGCCCGTGTACCACTCCGATCAGCGACAAGCTGATCAGGCAAGACGCGAGACTGAACGAGCCGCTTCTAATGATGGCAATAGGACCAGACGTGTAGACAGCCGTGCACGCGACCACGCACACAGTACAGATGAGCACGCTGAACATTGCCGTCTTGATGAGGTCAGCTTCAAACGTGTTGTCGTCGGCCTTGATGGCCTTTACGGCAACGAGCGTAGCGGACACCAACATCACCAGAAGTAGCACTACCCAGCCAAACGCAAACAGCACAGGACCAGAGTCGCTACATGTCAGCGTTCTTTCGGCGTGCGGCAGGACACCGTCCTTGATGTCGGGGCTGTTCAACAACGTGGACACGACGAGCAGGCAGGCGAACAGGAAGACGAACACCATCATGGACTTGAGCCACGACCCCAAGGTGAACCCTGCCTTGTCGGTCGGCACGCCAGCAACCGGGCTGCTCGCGCTGTCCACCGGCAGCTTGGAGAAGCTGCGGTGTGGCTCCTCGGTCACGGATTCAGTTCTGCTCTCGCGCTGCTGTCGCTCGCCCTCGCACCCAGCCACTGGTGCTGCCGGATCATCGATCGGGTCCTCCACCACCTGCGCTTCCTGATGGTGACTATCAGTTTGCAGCTGCTGGCTGTTGCCTTGGCTGGACGCTGCCTGGTCGCGCATGTAATAGGTGGAGTCAGCCGTGTAGGCTTCATGAAAAAAGTTGGTAGTTGAAACATACCACTCCCAGACAAAGATGATGATCGGGGCCAAGGCCAGGGTGAGGCCGCAAGTAGCCAGCGAGAAACGCAGCGAGCAGAGCGCGGCCGTGGGCTGCAGCACAAACAGCTGTGCAGCGACCAAGGTGATGAAGACGCCGACCAGAGAGATGGCCGTGGGCACGGCCTTCACCGGCCACGGCAGGTAGCGGTCGTTGTCCCACCACAGGAACTGAGCGACCAGCATCACAACAACGACGACCTTGGTAGCCGCTGCCTGCACGGCCACTACCAATGCCAGCGGATGAGTGATAGTGTAAACCTGAACAGGTAGGGAGTTGCACTGGACGTTCTTACTGGCCGTGTTTCTGACCACCTTCTCGGTGTCCAGACACGACGTGCAGTCGTCCGAGTTTGTCTGATTCGAGAACAGGTTGCCAGTGCAATCGCTGCACTGCCAGCAGCAAGTCAGGTCACTCTGCTCCGTCCGCTTCTGTCTCCGCCGCTCCTGGCCGGGTGCGCAGTCCAGTGAGCAGACCGAGATTGGCGTACTGGAGGTACCGTCGTTCCAGATAACTGCTCTCCCCGTCGACGAGCCAGAGAAATTTACGCTGTAGCACACTCCCGCGCTGTAGAGAAAGTCGTCGAGCAGTGCGCAGCTGGTGACGCTGTGATTGGTTTCAACGGCACTGTAAATGCCCACAGTGGGAAAACTAACACTCTTCGTGCTGGAGTTGTATACCATGTTCTTCTCGGCATACTTGGATTCCAGCGGGTCACCGTTCTTGTTGAACTGGAAGCTATCAGAATTTTGCCCATTAAACCGGACTTTATGCAATGCCTCGAGCAGACGCTTACCATCTTTGAGAGCAGGACAAGCTTTTGTCGCTTGTCTACACAGAGTTCTATTGTTCAAGATGTCATTGAGAGCGTAGGCAAACGAAAAGACAGCATCATACACCATGGCCACCTTACTGCTTTGAACGTAATCAGGCTCATCGGTAAGGCGGTTCATTCCGCACGCAGCGTCAGTCAGCCTACACTTGAAAGTTTGGTTCCAGGCTTCTGCCAACCATGGGTTGAACTGATCTGTTTCCAAACTTGGTAGTCCATACATCAGATGTGTGTCAAAATCTGTTACAATTTTGTTAAATGGAATTGGACTGACCGCTCCCAGGGCCGCCTGTAACGGCATTTTCTTCTCATCCACGACTGCCGTCAAGATGTCACCCCACGAGTCGACACCGAGAAAGGTGATGTTCTTGGCCAAAGCTCGGTCACGTACAGTTTCGTTCCTCTGTCCGTACAAGAAGAAATGTTTGGTGTTGGTTTCCTGCGTGAAGAGAACCGTTACGGTGCTGTTGTTTTGAGGAACTGAATCCAGCAGTGATGTCCAAGCTTTATGATAGTCGGCAAGCCCCTCTGCATTATTATACGTTGATACCTCCCGCAGCCCAGTCATACTTCCGATGCAGATGCCCGCGGCTTGGGCTTCGCTGAACACAGACGCTGAGCCGTCCTGGCCAAACGCGTCCCGCGTGAATACAATGTTGATGAACGCCCAGCCGCGATGTCGCGCCGCACGCACTATGGCACGTGCCAAAAACGTGTCCGAAGGCAGTGTCCGAAGGAAATACGGATACTTGTTCTTATCACTCAGCTGCGGGCTAGTAGATCCAAAGCTGACCATTGGCTTGTTGAAGAGTTGCAGCAATCTCGTAACCTGAATACTGACTGAGCTTGAGAAAGGACCTACAATTCCGACAAATTTTGATGAACTTCCACCTGATGATGAGCAAGCAGCACCTGGGCCTGAGGCTGTGGATTCCATACCCATCAAGGACAAAACCTGCGACAGGGCTACTTCTCCAGTGCGACACGTGTCCCGAATCTCGAAGCCCATTTTCAAGCTTATTTGGCCTCTTTTGATTATTTCGTCATCATTAACTTTGTTTACAGCTTGTTCCATGGCAATAACCCACTGCAAAGATTCCATCGAGAGGGTACCATTACAGACGACATTATGCACTGGGAACAAGCCACCGAGGATAAAATCGTGCGTATCACTATTACTTCGAGCATTACAGACTGAACCCGTGGTGCACGGGCCATACATTACTTTCGATGTCGACGTCGAGCTCTGAGCGTCAACAAGCCTGACATGGCCAAAGCACAAGAGAGTAGTGAAGATGGCAAGAGACAGAAACCACTCCATTTCGCAGTCACTGAAAATGTCAGCTGTATGCCGTGTAGACTGCAGTTCTACCTAGACTAGAGCCTCCTACTACTAGTACTACTAGACGATGGTGTCCCCACTCGGCATCTGTATCCCAGGTTTGCTGGCAGGTAGCTGCTCCCTTCCCACCACCATTTATAATCTAAAATAATAATTGTGGAAAACTGTACCTGGCCTGGTGACCACTGAATGACCTGTTCGAGATTTTAGTGTCAAGCAGGGAGTATGTTCGATTGTACGAATCCATCAGCCCCGGACCCGGATTCGCCAAATTTGTGCATGTTCGATTGTACGAATCCGGATCCCGAGAGCACGGATTCGGATCCAGTCAACCCACCTCCCAGAGACGGATTCGACGGATTCGACAGATTCATTTCGATAGTACGACTCGCACTTCCTCAAAAACTCGCAATATGCGTACACTAGGTCAAGAGTTTACCACAACGCGTACAGATATGTTGCAAAAGAAGGATCCACGAGCGGGATTCGAACCCAGCACCCCTGTCTTTCCGGGACAGTGCCCTACCGATTAGGCTACCGGGGATCACACACACTCATGAGTCATGGGTCCTTCTTGCTACACTGCTCCCCCGCCAACACACTCATGGGTCCTTCTTGCTACACTGAAGGACCCATGAGTGTGTGTGATCCCCGGTAGCCTAATCGGTAGGGCACTGTCCCGGAAAGACAGGGGTGCTGGGTTCGAATCCCGCTCGTGGATCCTTCTTTTGCAACATTGGCGCCTGGCAATGGCTCGAACCCACGACCCATCGTACCCCCCGCGAGCTAGGTACGGCGTGAGGACACAGCCTGTTGGGGCGGGGGAGCAGTGTAGCAAGAAGGACCCATGATCGAGTGTGTGTGATCCCCGGTAGCCTAATCGGTAGGGCACTGTCCCGGAAAGACAGGGGTGCTGGGTTCGAATCCCGCTCGTGGATCCTTCTTTTGCAACAGATACTACGGGATGAGCTGTAGCAACGCGGTTGCTAAGGCCTTGAAACGGATTATCGGTTGTGCACATTCGATTGTATCCGTCCGATCGAGTGATCTGGTCGGCGGGGATCGGGATCCAGTTTCTACAATCGAATGCAGCGAGATACCAAAAGTAGGTAGATCTATCTGTTCACCTGCATTGATCGTTGCACCCGCTGGGTTGAAGTGCTGCCTGAGGGAGGGAGGGAGGGAGGGAGGGAGGGAGAGAGGGAGAGAGGGAGAGAGGGGGAGAGGGGGAGAGAGGGGGAGCGAGGGAGAGCGAGGATTGTTTCTTACATCGTCTCCATCGCTTACATTGTTAATAAAGTAGTCCACATGTCGCTTCAGCTCGTCCTACTTATTGCCATATTAAAATAATAATAATAATAATATGTGTGGGTTACAGTGAGGGCTGCGTCCCACCCGCCTGTGTGGATTCACAGGAAGTGTGAGTTACGAAGTCTGAAGAAGATGTTGAACGGTCTCTGCTGGGATGACGACTACACCATAGCTCAGTGGTTAGAGCATCGCTGGCTACAAGCGAGGGTCCCTGGTTCGAGTCCTGGTGGTGACAGTCAATTTTTTCTTCAGACTTTTCCCGTTTGTGTCTTTTCCCTCAAACCAGTTCAAATAATAATAATAATAATAATTGAACAAAGGGCGAGCTGGTGTCTGTATGGTTCGGCTGAAGAGCGCGTGGTTGTGATGAGTTGGGAATGCAATGAATTGAAAATATGGCCGAAAGCTCTGTCGCAATATTTAGTTCTAAAGGGCGAGGAGACAACAATAATATATTTGATAACCGCAATCTGTAACAGATTCACTGTTACTACTAACACTAAACTAGCACCGACACTGCCCGCCGGAGCCCGTAATAGTGCTCTCCGATCATTCCCCCATGCCACGATCCAAGACTGGAATCGTCTCCCATCTGCCCTGCTACGCAACCTTCCCACGCAGAAGGGAATGCAGGCATTCAAGGAAGGCGCCTACAAGTCGCTCCGCAGCCGAGACTGGCGTTCAGCCACAGATGCCCTCTGAACACTCCCTGAACACCCTCTCTGCTTGCACCCTGGCTCCCCCCTTTTTTATTTATTATTTTATTTTTTTATTATTTTTTTTATTTTTTATTTTTATTTTTTATTTTTATTTTTATTTTTTTCTTCCTCTATCACATGTATCATCTTTCCGTTTTTCCTTCCTCTATATAAATGTACCCCCCCCCTCCCCTCCCCCTGTGCCTACTCCTCCCAAGTTTTTGGTGCTCTGAAGTGTCGCTGAAGCCGAGACCTCAGGTCGGCGGAGATGCTCCAGTTTCACCACCACAGTTGCGTCTGCAACCACCTCTACCATGCAGTATTCTGTTCTCGAGGTTCGTGGTTTCTCGTAAAAAAACAAACAAACTAGGAATAGGATACACTTATCACCTGCTATTATCACGCTGCTGCTGTTAGGTGTTATGTCCATCATTGCTTGTTCATGTATATAAGAATGCATTATGGCAAGGATCATTGCTTATTCCAAGAATGACTACTGAAGTTAGTTGGACTGTTACACTGGTAGCAGAGGATGGTTTTTCTTTTCGTCATGTTCGGGCTATGCGCAGTGGCCGCATTAGTCGCCTACGGTATATTCGAGATTCAGAAGCGTCTGAATCACCTTATCGCACTCGGTCAGTGCGATGGAGCAGATCAAACGCCAAGACGTGCTCAAGCTCCCAGCGGAGAGAGGCCACGCATGCGCCATGTTAAGTCTCCGCCTGTGTTTCGTGGAGATACAAGAGAGTTCAAGGAGTGGGCCTTCGCCATCGAACTCGCCATGAAGTCCCTGCAGCTGGACAACGCGGAGGAGCGCTTGAGCTACGCGGCGAGTTTTCTGGAGGGCAACGCTCGTCTTTGGTTTATCGCCTATCAGGAGGCAAACACGCTGTTTTCCGACTGGCCAGACCTGAAGAGCAAGCTGGGAGAAGTGTACGGCCCGGTTTATGACAGGGAACAAGCGCGCATCGACTTATTCGCTCTTCACCAAGATGAGACTCTTGACGAATACATCAACAAATTTTCGCGGCTTAGCTTACAAGTTCCCGAGCTTGATGACCACTCCAGAGCTATCTTGTTCACGCGTGGGCTGGCTCAGGGCCTAAGCGGTGAGGTACTTAGGGAGCATCCGCAACATTTGGCCCAAGCCATACGAGCTGCGGTCTCAGCAGACCAGTCGATGCGGCTAGCCCAAGCAAGCTACGCCAAGGCAGTGCGCGCACCAGGGCATCAGAGGCGCCAGCCTGGACCCTGGTCAAGCCAACCAACACCATCCGGTGGGAGAGAAACCAGGGAGCCAGAGGGTCGTTCAAGGCTGTGTTTCACCTGCAGGAAACCCGGCCATATTGCCAGATTCTGTCCAGAAGGAGGGAGGAACGCCACAAGCAAGCCTTCTTTAAACGATGGACGCCAGTAAGGAAGGGAGTGCGACTACTGGCGAACACGAGAGCACCCAGGAATAGGCCACGAATCAAAGTTCAGAACAAATTCAGCCCCTTAGCAAATGAGGAACCACGCCTCGAGGAGACCGAAATTCAAGCCTCGCCTGTCAAGCATTCGTCACCTGATACTGTTGGCCGGCCTAATGAAGTAACCGCCAGCACAGGGAGCATTTCCGCCGACAACGAACACGACCTAATGCGCGTCCAGGGCAAGATAAATGGACGTCGCGTTACCATGCTACTGGATTCTGGGTCAACCCACGACTTCATTTCAACTGACTTTGTCAAGAAGCACAACATCTCCACAACAACCGGTAGCGACGTCCTGAACGTCACACTTGCTGATGGATCGGTCCGCTCACAGCCTATTACGAAAACGGACAGCTTGAAGACCGTAGTCGGCGACTTTAGCGAGCACCAACAGTTCCTAGTATTCCCTATGACGCGGTATGACGTGATCCTCGGCAAACCATGGCTGACCCGGACGAACCCACAGATCAATTTTCGTACCAATGAAATCAAGCTGGAGGGTGGATCCATCATCTGTCAACCGAGTGAAAGTGATGGCACGGACAAATCCAACCCACCGATCGAGACGTTCCTCATCTCAGGGAAGCAGGCTAGGCATGCAATGAGAGGTGGCGCAGAAGGAATCCTAGCGTATGTGACAGCAGATCCGGACGAGCCACAGACGGTGGATAGTCCGGGTAGGGAGGATCAGAAGGATTTCAAGGACCTGCTGAAGGAGTTCGGGGACGTCCTTCCCGATGAGCTTCCAAACAAGCTGCCACCCAGAAGAGGCGCAGATCACGAGATAAAAACGGAAGAAGGAGCTAAACCGCCATCTCGTGCAGCATATCGTTTACCAAAACCAGAGATGGATGAGCTTCAAGCTCAGCTCACCGAGCTGCTCCGTAGAGGATTCATCCAGCCCAGCAAATCCCCATACGGAGCCCCTGTGTTCTTCGTAAAGAAAGCGGATGGAACACTTCGAATGGTATGCGACTGGCGGGAGCTAAACCGCATAACCATTAAGAACAAGGCATGCCTACCGAATATTGACGACCTCTTTGATACCGTCCAAGGCAGTGCGTATTTCACCAAGCTAGATCTGAGGTCCGGTTACAATCAGATTCGAATAGAAGAAACAGATATTCCGAAGACAGCAATAAATACCCCATTCGGTCACTTTCAGTTCACAGTGATGGGTTTCGGCCTAACAAATGCCCCGGCAACATTCCAAACCTTGATGAACAGTGTCCTCCAGCCATACCTGCGTAAATTCGTTGTGGTGTTTCTAGACGATATCCTCATATTCAGCAAATCATGGGAGGAGCACCTCGATCATGTCAGAACCATCTTAAACGCCCTCAGGAGGAATGAGCTATATTGCAAACCGTCTAAATGTGAATTCGGCCGGACAGACGTTCTGTTTCTTGGGCACCGGATAGACGGCCAATGCATTTCTCCAGATCCAGAGAAGATCAAGGCCGTGCATAACTGGCCTGTCCCGACGACGGTCACGCACGTAAGACAGTTTCTGGGATTCGCTAATTACTTTCGAAGGTTCATTAACCATTTCTCGGCCATCTCCAAACCCCTGGAGGAACTGACAGGGAAACATGTGCGCTTCGAGTGGAATCAGACTCG